GACCTGCGTTACGTGTTTATTGACCAATCATCCACCGCGATGAGGGGTCCTCACGCAATTTTGAAGCTTTTGGCAAAGAATAGCACTTTATGAGAAAGTATAGCACCTTATGACCAGAGTATAGCACTATATGGTAAAGTATAGCACTTTATTGGCAAAGTATAGCACCTTATTGGCAAAGTACAGCACATTATGCTCTCTGGAAATTTTGTACCTTAAGTTGTCAAAAACCAAATCAGTTTTTTTCACCGCAACGCAAACACTCGATGACCTACGTTACGTGTTTATTGACCAATCATCCACCGCGATGAGGGTTCCTCACGTAATTTTGAAGCTTTTGGCAAAGAATAGCACTTTATGAGAAAGTATAGCACCTTATGGCCAAATTATAGCACCATATGGCAAAGTATAGCACATTATTGGTAAAGTATAGCACCTTAAGATACAGAATTTCCAGAGAGCATAAGGTGCTATATTTTGCCAATAAGGTGCTATACTTTGCCAATAAAGTGCTATACTTTGCCATATAGTGATATACTTTGGCCATAATGTGCTATACTTTCTCATAAAGTGCTATACTTTGCCAAAAGCTTCAAAATTGCGTGAGGACCCCTCATCGCGGTGGATGATTGGTCAATAAACACGTAACGTAGGTCATCGAGTGTTTGCGTTGCGGTGAAAAAAACTGATTTGGTTTTAGACAACTTAATGTGCAGAATTTTCAGAAAGCATAAGGTGCTATACTTTGCCAATAAGGTGCTATATTTTGCTAATAAAGTGCTATACTTTACCATATAGTGCTATACTTTGGCCATAAGGTGGTATACTTTCTCATAAAGTGCTATACTTTACCAAAAGCTTCAAAATTACGTGAGGACCCCTCATCGCGGTGGATGATTGGTTAATAAACACGTAACGTAGATCATCGAGTGTTTGCGTTGCGGTGAAAAAACTGAATTGGTTTTTGACAACTTAAGGTGCAGAATTTTCAGAGAGCATAAGGTGCTATATTTTGCCAATAAGGTGTTATACTTTGCTAATAAAATGCTATATTTTGCCATATAGTGCTATACTTTGGCTATAAGGTGCTATACTTTCTCATAAAGTGCTATGCTTTGCCAAAAGCTTCAAAATTGTGTGAGGACCCCTCATCGCGGTGGATGATTGGTCAATAAACACGTAATGTAGGTCATCGAGTGTTTGCGTTGCGGTGAAAAAAACTAATTTGGTTTTAGACAACTTAAGGTGCAGAATTTCCAGAGAGCATAAGGTGCTATACTTTGTCAATAAGGTGTTATACTTTGTCAATAAAGTGCTATACTTTATCATATAGTATTATACTTTGGCCATAAGGTGCTATATTTTCCCATAAAGTGCTATACTTTGTCAAAAACTTTAAAATTGAGCGAGGACCCCTCGTCGAGGTGGATAATTGGTCACGCGACACATAGCGTAGGTCCTTGAGTGTTTGCATGGCCCTAACAAAACTGATTTGGTTTATCGCAACGCAATAAGTTGCTAAATTTCCAAAGACTATAAGGTGCTATACTTTATCGATAAGGTGCTATACTATTGCCATAATGTGCTATACTTTGCCATAAGGTGCTATACTTTATCAATAAGCTGCTATACTTTCTTATAAAGTGCTATACTTTATCAAAAGCTGGAAAATTGAACGAGGACCCCTCGTCGAGGTGGATAATTGGACACACGAAACATAATATGGCCCAATAGGCTGTTGTTACCACAACCTACCATCAAAACTTCTTCAGTTCAATTAGTGCATCAATTTATTACAGATATTCATATCTATCAACCACTAAACTCAAGCACATAACATTGAATGAAAATAATCCATGAAGATTGAATGGAAATAATCCAAAATCACCACTATCGAAACGTTGTATACATTTCTACTAGATATACTGATAAATTTCTAATAGAAAATTTGATGTAGCATGATACATTGGATAGTGCATTTGATACAATATACACACACATCATCTATATATACAAAATATAGAAAATTCCATACAACACGACACATTCGATACTACTTGGTACATCATATTGCAGGCTGTAGTTGATTTGCAGTTTGGGTTGCAATGTGACAACAATGCTAAGATCTGATCGAATGCAAAGAGTGGAGGATTCTCTCATGTATTTGATTGGAAAGTTAGTGTACATGCATTGACGAATCGTTTCTGATTGAGGGGTAGCTGTGCATTGCGTTAGGTGTTGGCGACAATAGAAAATGGTGAGGAGCAACCGGAGGGCGTAGGATGGCATACTGATGGGCTAAGATCATGGCGGTCCGCAAAACCAAACTTTTCAGGGACATTTTATCAACAACCTTTATTGCCTCATCAACCAACAACAATATGACATAACCGCTAATCGTTGTGGTCCAAATAACTATATCCCTTTTGTCATTCCATCAAACACCTTCTATGCATCAACCTAGTCACCAAAACATAGATATATATGAGCAAAATTGTTATGCACATACTCTTTCCTGAAACATAAGCTTGATAAGAATCCATCAATTTATAAGAACAAGACATTTTAAACAATATATTGCCAAAAAACCCAAAAATTTTAAAATGTTAACATGCCGTTTTCTATTGGTCGGCTTTGAGTGGACGTGGTGGTCCTAGGGCCGCTGCCACCGCCCCCTTCAACGAATGATCTTGCGAAGAAGAACCTGCAAGTTGACATTGGACGCCATTGCAAGAGATCAAAACTCTTGAATTTTTAGGGTTTTTTTTGAGTGGGAGGAGAACCAGAAAAATATGGTGTATTAGGGAGGAGGAAGAAGAAGAACAGTGTAATTTCGAATTTAGGGAGGAGGAAGAAAAAGAACAGTTATTAGGGATGGAGATAATTAGAAAGAGTGAGTTGAGCCATGAGTAGTTATTAGAGAGGAGGAAGAAGAAGAACAGTGTAATTTCGAATTTATCTTTTAATTTTTTGTATACAGTATACAAATATGGTGTATTTGATACTTTGGGTTTATAAATAAGTGGGTGTTGTATTTTGGGTGTATGGATCATAATGAAAGTAGGTGGGTTTAAAAATAAGTTGGAGTAAAACTTTGGGTTAAAAGAAGATTTTTCCTAGTTTTTATAAGTAGGACTCAAGCAGATTCCCAGCAATTGAATAGAACTAAGGGTACATTATGGAGACTGTAAACTTTTTCTAAACCACTAGCAAAAAGGAAAAATAAATATGATTGGAGTAAAGAATCAACTTACAATTGCTACTTATCCGAATAACTCACTGAAAGAAATCAGCATATACATTCAAATTTACATGTCATAATGATTGTAAATGAATTTTTAGGGCTTCTTAATATTATAAGCAGGATTCCAGATGGCTTGTGGGTGCTACCTACCTTCTCTTGATATTTCAGATGATCTAACCATCCAACAGATCCTAAGATGAGAAACAGATAACTCTAGGATACACTGACAGTCTCACAGTATAGATGTTCCAGCTACCTTCTCGGACACTTAGAAAGATCATCTTACAAACAATTTGTCCGTGTGTTCAACATAATGAATATATCAAATAGCTCCATGAAAAGTTTTTTTTTTTTTTTGAGGATCAAATAAGCTGGATATCAAATTAGCTAAACATGGAACAGAAGATCAAATTAGCAAAATGTAGAACATTAGAAGTTAAAGTGACCCAGCAAGTGGAAGCGAGAGTACAACACAGAGGTGAATCTCAAATACAGGTAGATCAAACAAAAGCACAAAAACTCACATAGTCAACTAACCTCTTTACTCCTTTATATGATAAATACATCATCCAGTGGATAATCACAGAGCATAGGACGTTCGTTCAGATAACATTAGTTTTAAGGGTTCCAATACTAGATTAATTTTTCCTCATGGACTTACGACCAATCAAATACTTAAACCAAGTCATTTGGCTATCAGTTGTACATCACAAGGATTATAATCCAAAAAAGTGTCATAATCCAAAGCATTTCTCTTGGCTAAAAAAACTAGGAGAAAATGCTGTGTTGAAGTCAATGAGACATCCAAACAAAAAAAAAATCATTATAACTTCTAAGAATTCTTACCTGAAGTAACATAGGTACAATTCAAAGGATCTCTATCCCAAATGAAATTGATGGGATTCTTATTTCAGCCATCTAAATAAGGCCTTAAGGTGCAGACTCCTCCCAGAAATTAAATATTTGTAAAAATACGGAAAAATATGGAAAAGCATCAGAAAGCTTAGTTGCTGACCATCTGGAAAAGTGCACATGACAACTTAATCTTTAGACAGTACTTCATCATGCTATTGGGATCTAGAAGTTACTTTATGCACATACATGTGAAACCTCAAAGAGTGGTGTTAGGGGCACACCTCCTACCACACCACCAACCACACCCCCCTCTCCCATCGCTACAGTAAACCGGGCCCCACACGGGATTTTAAAATTTTTAAAATCTCATGTGGGACCCGGTTTACTGTAGCGATGGGAGAGGGGGCTGTGGTTGGTGGTGTGTTAGGGGGTGTGCCCCTAACATTATTTAACCTAAAAATGATAGAGAACAAGTCAAATATGATAACTTGAGCTGCAAGGTGAATGCATTTAACTTTTCTGGATGAAATCCAGTCGAAGGCAAGGGTAACCATGTCAAAATCAAAGCTAAAGCAAATTACCCAGAGCTTCATTATATTTTGCCCTTCCAC